AAAAAAAAGAAAAAAACCCAACGCTCTAGTCTACTCCAGTTCAATTATATCAGGATCTTTGCGACAGTCCCCAGATATTATTCATTTTGGGAGTTCTCCAAGTTAGTCCAGTGTTCAAAATTCAGACTACTCTATGGGTTGGAGAGTAGACTTTTAAGGTCCCTTCATAGCTCCATTTGGGAGGAGGCAAGGATTATATTGAAGGGCTGTGGGGCAGTTAGCTCCAGGTGGAATAGACTTTGGATACTTATGTAGATAGGAGGAAAATGAGCTGAAGCTGGAAGAGAAGGTGTGAGATCTGGCCTTCCAGATGACTGTCTTAGGGCAGCATGTGCACTATATAGGGAACATCTTAAGAAGAGTTTTTGAAGGCTGGAGTTGTGGCTCAGTGGTAGAGCACTTGCCTTGCATGTGTGAGGCACTGGGTTTGATTCTCAGCATCACATTTAAATAAATGAATAAAATAAAGGTCCATCAACATAAAAAACAAAACAAAAGAAAGAAAGAAAAGAACAGTTTGAAGCATCAGGCACTAGTGTCAGATCCTGTCAAATTATAATTTTATAATCCGGTATATAATAATCAACAAATTACAATTCTGGGACACAGGAGAGTTCATGGTGTTCAGGCTTTTCTGATGAAATAAGTATTATGACTGATGAATTCCTCCAGCTGTGGCTGAGATGCTTTACTCTCTAATTGTTGATCTTGGATGTGGAGGTAGTTGCCACAGCTGTTCCTAAATGATGTTTTACTGTGTAGGCTTGATAATTAGTGCATCCACCCAAACACAGCAGGAACAGCCTCCAAAGTAGGTAGCCCAGTCTGGACTGGAGACTTAAAACCAGGCTTCTTTGATGCTAATTAGGTGAGTGGCTATTGGGTAGCCCATCTATTCAGGGAGATGACTGGGCAAATGAACTTTAAGGACCCTTCAATAATCACTCTAGGATACTAAATGCAATTATGTGTCTTAAGAGAAAACATATCTAGGACACAAAATTATCATATCAAACAACTATGATCATCTTTCAATACATATCAAATTTCTATTCACTTCATTTTATTTATTAATCTTTTTCTGTGTGACAGGAAAGCAAATATCCTTGACCAGTTTCCAGAAGAGGAAACTGAGGGGTTGGAGAGTGGACTTTTAAGGTGAGATGAAGTAGTTTCCCCAGTGTCCCAATCATTTTCTGCCTTAGTTTGGCATTCTCCTCACTGGGCCAGTGGTTCTTCTCAACCTTGGCAGCACCTGGGAGCTTTAAAAAGCTGTTGGTGTCCAGTCTCCATCATCACAGATTTTGATTCAACTGTTGGGAAGTGCTGCCTGGACACTGGGAGTTTTAAAAGTTTCCCAGGTGATTCTAATGTTCGGTTGACTCTGAGAACCAGTACAGTAGGCTTTGTTGCTTTTTTAATGAAGAGAGTCATAATCCACAGAAGGTTTTGGCCACATCTGCATGTGGCTAAAGGTAATATGCTACTAAGCTTAATTTAACAAAACAAACTACCTTATTTAAAAAACCAAAAATCAAAACAAACTATTCTGTACAACTGTACTTTACTCACAACAATATTAAAATATGTTGTTCCTTTTAGTGACAAGCTGAGTGACTGGTGACCCCCTCAGTCACACAGATCAATTGGCTTAAAGACCAGGCCCCATGCAGCTGTTAACTAGCTGTAATGAATATCTTTCTAAGACACGGTTCTTAAGAAATTTTGTTTCTTATTGTGATGTGAGGAATGGCAATTCCATGAGTCAACAAAGGTCTGAAAGTACAAACAGGATGGGAAGTGGTCTGACCAGTGTTGTCTTCCTTACCAAAAGTATGAAATATCATACTAGACAACTGTAATAAGCACACCCTGGAAAACAGTATTTCATAATTTCAGATTTTAAACTGAGAACATCAGTAAATATTTTGTCACTAAGAGTCCTCTTTGTGAATATTCTGGTACATCTAATGTACTGAATATCGCCTTTTTTTTTTAAAGTCATGTGTATTTTTCCCGGCTCCATAACAACAAAAGAAGAATATAAAATCCCCATTGGGAAATGTTTTCACTGGGGCTTTCAGAATCTACTTTGTGCTACTACTATAACTGTTACAAATTATAGTAATGATAGTGACATTTAAAATTTGATGAGTGCTTACTATGTGCTAGTGACTGTGCTAAGACATTTACAACTATTTCCTCATGTTATCAGTATGGTCCTAAAGGGTGGGCTATAACTGTCCCCATTTTAATGATGAAGAAGCTGAAGCTCAGAGACATACCCAATTCCCCCCAAATACACAGCTGGTAATTGGCAGCAATGGAATTTAACCCTGGTTTATTTGTTTCAGAGTTCCCAGTGTTAGCTGTTATTCAAACCCTTCCTATCAAAGTGTACCATTGGAAGAAAAAACTGAGTCAAACATTTTTCCTAACATAGTATCACTTAGAGGTATCAAAATAGTAAGCAGATTTAACTTTACAAAGGTGCTACAGAGGAATGAGCATCTGCTGTTCTTAAGAACTAACACAGACCACAATCTCAGAATCTTGCAGTTGTTCATATCCACTCTACATTGGTAGTTTGTAGTAAAACCCTAACTCCTAACTGTCTCATTTGGGAGTACTTACACCATTAGAGGTTTTTTTGGGGGGCAGGGGCACCAGGGATTGAGATCAGGGGCACTCAACCACTGAGCCACATGCCCAGCCCTATTCTGTGTTTTATTAGAGACAGTCTCATTGAGTTGCTTAGTGCCTCACCATTGCTGAGGCTGGCTTTGAACTCATGATCCTCCTGTCTCAACCTCCCGAGCCGCTGGGATTACAGGTGTGTGCCACCATTCCTGGTTTAGAGTTTTCATTAAAAACATGCAAAACTAATAAAACGGATAGAACAAGGACATATAAATACGTACCATGCTCTAATCTTTCATAGTCAGAATCCAGGAGAAATGTCTTAAAACGATTAGATACATAGTGGAAGGCCAAGAACTTTAAGTAATAGAGATTGAATTCAAACTCAGCTGGATACTGGTTGTGAACCTGAAACAAGGGAAGAAGAGTAAGAATCAAACAAAACAAAAAACAAATGCCTGCTGAGATCATCATTGGGTTATTCATTCAATAAATGAATCTTCACTATGGGTAGAGATGGGAAGCAGGTGCTCTTCTGGGCATCTACTATATGCCAGCCACCATATGAAAGGTTTTATAAAAAATCTTATTTACTTTTTGCACCATTGTAGGACAGGCATTACTGCTATCATTTTACATTTGAAGAGGCTTGGGATCAGCAAGATTAAGTTACTCAATAGTAACTACTGAGTCCAAATGGGAATCGTGATTTGTTATGTTTCATGTCTGTGTCCACTTCCCACACTACACCATGGGAGGCATGCTGACAGAAAGTAATGTAAGTTAGAGTTCTTGCTTTCCAGGCATTTGTGGTGTTATAGTGTGAAATGTAAGAAAAACTGTACTTCAGAATTTTGGTAATGAGAGAACTGGGAAGAGAAAGTGGTGGCTTAAGGGGAAAGTAAGAGATATTTTCTAGACAAAAAACAAAAACAAAAAACAACAACAACAACAAAAATACGTGTGCAACTTGGAAGGAGCCAGTAAAGAGAACAATTTTAGAGAAAGAGTTAATATAATAACCGAGAGAGTAAGGCCCTGGAAAAGCAAGAATGAAGAGGCTCAGATATAGGAACAATCTTAGAAACAAGGAGGGATGGGGGAGTAGGTAAAGGTATGTTCATATGCCAAAGGAAGGGGGAGGAGCTTATGCCTTTTAACTTTATTTTTCATTTGTAAATTAGGCAGCAAGGTCACTGGACACAGGAACAAGGACAAAGGAAAGATATGAGAGGGAGAGGGCAAGGCAATGTTTGGAAGTCACTGGGTCACTGTATGTCTATAGAATATTTTAGACCAGCTATATTCAGATGCTATGGAGCCTTCTTATATTGGCAGAAGGCAGGATAATGACCTTGTGACACTCCCTGGTCCACTGGGTGATCTTGCTGCTGCAATGTTCAAACAATCTCTCATAATCATCTGAAATTGGTTAAGTTCCAATCATCATCGTGTTTGCTTAAGAGCTATTTCAAATGAATAAATGTTAGCTTTCCTCTCCATGTTTAATTTGGCCATATAGACCCACAAGCAATCAGCTGAGGTGAGCAGCCATGTGTATAATATGTTGATTGTCCAACAGAACAGTAGGCATTTTAAATAATGATGTGGATTGATTTATCAAAGTTTATCGTCTGATTAAAAACCTAGTTTTCTGTGACGAGCAAAGTATTTTTTTTTTTTTACAAAATTTTCGTATTGGCTTTTTCATTAATCTAAAATTTTAGATTAATGTAAGCAATGTAAAAGAAATTGGTTTTTAGGAAGATTAGAGAGTCTGCAACCTAGGCAACAGGCCTGCACACAGTGAGGCTGTTTCCCAGCCTTGTTCTCCGTGGTTGGGTAGTGTGTCATCCTCTAGACTGTTAGAATTATAAACATCTGTATTGAGTTTTCTCACCAGTGAAAATGAAGGGATTAGATACCATGGGTTTCCTGTGATTATGGTATATGAGGAACAATTATAAAGACTAAGTACACTTGAAGAGTTTGTGGTTATAATTAAATAAAACTTAAGTCAATCTGGCACATTTAAGGTTCAACATTTTGCCTTGCAGCATTATCTCTGGGCATAAAAATAAAAATAAGTGGTTATTAGAATTAGTAATACTTTCTTCTATTTCCATAAAGGAAAAATAAACACAAAATATTTTCTTTCCTTGCTTTGTTAGATGTTTGTATCAACTGTCAACCATGTCCTTTAATACACAATTCTCATTCAAATGCTTGCCCCTATTGATATACAGGTACACTAGAAGATAGCCCTGGGTTAGAACTCCACTTGGACTAGTTCTCTGGTGTTCACTTCCTTAAGAGGTGCCCAGATTCAAGTCTCCCCCTAACCTATCCTTTACTGCAATATAAAGCTTTCTAGTTTGAGCTCCTTGTTTGCAATCAATGGTCATCTTCCATGGAGCCAGTGTACACATGATGGAGAGGGGGATGATCAGATAGTGGCGGCCCAGAAGGATAAGGAGACAGGGCAACTGAAGATGGTACTTGGCTGCCAATCATCTGAGAGGAGAAATCTACAGTATACTCAGGCAGGGTGCACTTAAAGGACAATTGCCCCCACAGTGCCTGGAATAAACCTGCAGTTAAAGCCAGCCCTCAGATCATCGTTTCTGGGGAAGAAGAGTTCAGGGTTTTTTTTTCTATTGACCTAGTCTACAATTAGTTCTAGAAACACTTATAAAACCTTTTTAAACTAAACCCCAAATAACACTTTTCTCAATGGTTATTTCCATAGAAACCTCTTGCTTCACAACTGTGTCTTTTCTTGTTGGTTCTGATAGTTAATATGCTCAGGAATATAATTTTGAAAACTCACTTCTGAAGTAAAGTAGAATGGAAACGATAATGAATGTGACCTTAAGATGAACCTATAGGCATTTCAGGGATCATGTTAGGACCACAAGCCTCCTCTACAAGTAGAAAAAAACCTCTTTCACAGACCACTATACTGAGGACTGACCTCACCACAAACCCTGCCCTCCATAATTATGTCAGAGAGGTCACTTTTCTGAAGCCTCTGGTACTGCCCCTTCTAGGATTGGAATTGGTACTTAGCATCAAAGGATAAGTGTTTGTTCTTGTGTGTGTGCCACAGGGGAGCCTGCAGTTGCTAACTGCCTGGGATTGAAAAAGAGATAAAAAGAAAAATCTGCCCCTAAACTGAGGTTCATGGCCCAGTCTACTAGAAATGGAAAAGAAGATGCAGAACAACTTTGTTTTTCACTCTTCAGCAACAGTTGAAGTAAAAAGCATGTGAGAATTTCTCCAGTGGAAAAAATAAGTCAGATGTGCCTGGATGCTGGGTTGATTAGTACACAGATACCACATTTGGAATGTGATATTAAGAAATAAGAAATTTTTTGAGATGTCTTTCTACCATAATGCAGGGAGAAATGAAGAGCTGATTGAATTCATAAAATGAAATCTGGTGACTAGATTTCCAGTAAGCAAGAAAAATCACTGTGTCTGTTTAGTCCAATATCCTAGGCACTCAGTTTGTCTAGTACATTGGCTTCTTTTCTTCCTTGTCAAGTGGGACAAATGTACTCTTCTGCTGTACCATACCAGGTGGTATCCAAAAAGGCACAGTCAATAATATGCTGATGCTGGAACTGCACTGATTATTTAGTATTATTTTAATAGAAGAAAGGGGATTAGACCAGAGACAATTTTCTCTAAGGACTTATGATATATGGGTGGGTGATTAAGAGTTTAGAGGTTTGTTTACCACAAGATTCTGTTTTAGTAGTAAATAGTATTAATGAGGTATAAGTGACATATAATAAACTGTATTTAATGTGTACAATCTGATAAAGTTTGACTTATATAGACACAACACAATCAACACAATCAAAATAATCAACACAATCAAAATAATCAACATAACTCCTCAAAACTTCCTTGTGGGGGCTGGGGTTGTGGCTCAGTGGTAGAACACTTGCCTAGCATGTGCAAGGCCTTGGGTTCGATCCTCAGCACCACATAAAAATAAATAAATAAATAAAAAATTGTGTCCAACTACAACTAAAAAATAAATATTAAAAAAAACCTTCCTTGTGTCCCTTTTGCTTCTTCCTGTACTCCCCGCTCCCTAGGCAACCAAACACTGGTTTGATTTTGCCACTGCAGGTAGGTCTGCACTCAAACTTTATATAAATGGAATTGAAAGTATGGATTCTTTTTGTCTGCCTCATTTTACTAGGAATAATTATGCAGGATCCAATCACATTGTTGGGTTATCAATAATGCATTCCTTTTTATTTCTGAGTAGCATTCTACTGCATAGATATACCACAATTTATTTATTCATTCTCCTGTTGGTGGACATTGGTTCCCCCCCCCCCAGATTTTTGGCTTTTTTTTTTTTAATTGGTTCTGGGGATTGAACCACATCCACAGCCCTTTTTATATTTTATTTAGAGACAGGGTCTCGCTGAGTTGCTTAGGGCCTTGCTATGTTGCTGAGGCTGGCTTTGAACTCACAATCCTCCTCCCTCAGCCTTCTGAGCTTCTGGGATTACAGGTGTGCACCACACGGTGCCTGGCAGATTTTTGGCTATTATAAATAAAACTGCTAAGAAGAGTTATGTACAAAAGACTGATTAGTATGGTTAGTGTATGTTTAACTTTCAAAGAAAAGGCCAAACTGTTCTAAAATAGTTCCATAATTTTATAATTCTTAATGGTAGTATTATGGTCAATTCTTCATACCCCTGAAAAAAACTTTGGTCAGTTTTAAAATTTTCATTCATTAAGAAGAATAGATGTGTGGTGGTATTCTGTTACAATTTTTATTTCCTAACAAAGAACAATGTCAAATATTTTCATGTGTTTATTTCTCATTAGTCCATTTTTATTAAGTCAGTAGAGATGTTTTGCCCATTTGGAGAGAGAGAGAGAGAGAGAGAGAGAGAGAGAGAGAGAGAGAGAGAGAGAGAGAGAGAATATGAGAGAGAGAGAATGAGAGAATACAAGCACACGCAAGTGCGTGCTCTTGTGCTTGATTGTTTTCTTAATGAGTTTTGAGAATTTTTTATATATTCTGAACACAGTCCTTCGGCAGATATAGCTTTGCAAATGTTTTCTCCCACTCTGTGACTTGTCTTTTCATTTTCTTAAGTGATTTCTAAAGAATACGTTTTTAACTTTCACAGCCCAATTTATCAATTTGTTCTCTTTTATTTTTGCTTATCCCTAGGTTACAAAGGTTTCTTCCTATGTTTCTTCTAGAAGTTTTATGGTATTTTTGAATAAATTTTCATAAGGTGCTAGGGGAATCCCCCTCACCCCTTGGAAATCCAGTTGTTAGGATACCATTTATTGAAAAGATATCCTTTCTTCACTGATTGCTTTTCTATCTTTGACAAAGTAACAGTTCACAGATATGTGTTGAG